AACCTGTTTGATGACGTGGCCTCCATTTTGGAGCGATTGCAGGTGGGGGCTCCGGGTGGGACTTGGGGGGGGACAGTGGGTTTGTATGGTACAACACGGGTGCGCATGCACCTTGCCTGCGAGTTTCGATCTGTGTAAGGGTTTAGGGGCTTTAGTAAGGGCTGTCAGTATTCAGGGTCTTCCAGTATTTAGGGGCTTTAGAGGGTTTAAAATTGCTGCAAACCGGGGGATATCGTCTGGGCCTTATGATCGAGAGCCACTTCAAAGTGGGGTCGCGTCAGAGTTGAGCTCACCGTCACCAGGAGGTTGGTTCCCGTGAGAGACCGAACTGACGAAAGGGAAGGAAGGCGCATTACAGCTATTTAATGAATGGAAGGTAAAAGGGAAGATGAAAGGGCAGGAACGGGCAGTGAATCAGTTGTCGGTTGGGAATCAGTTGCACACAGCAAAGCAACCGTTGGCCAGTCGAAACAAATGTCGACTAACACAAAGCAGGAATGTACCCTCGTAATTTTAAGAACTTTCTACAAGTTACAAGTTCCGCATGCAAGTGTGGGTGTGTCCGTAAAAGCCGGGATGCGGGTATGCGGGAGGCCATCATCATCCTCCCTCGTTCACTTCAGGGTGAAGCGCCTCAGTGCGACGTGCCTGGCCTCCCAGATTTCCGAGAGGTACCTGGCCAATGCCAGGGGTAGCGCCTCAGTCATAATGGTGCGCATGCTGCACCCCTCAAAGGCTAGGCCACCATCGTATTTAGCCCGTATGCTCAGGCCACCATCGTATTTAGCCCGTATGCTCTTGTAAGCGGGGCAATCATCAAAGAGATCAAATCACCATCAACAGTTACATAATCGCTATGCCTGCAGGTATACTCGATGCGCTCACGCCATACCGACATAATAAATACTGTACTACTTTGGGGAGTTGCGGGAATTGAACCCACGACCTCTCGCACCCTAAGCGAGAATCATACCACTAGACCAAACTCCCATATATATGATAGCGACGAGGAAGATATAAGAGTGACCCGCCCCCACCCATCGTCCGCCGCCAGCCCATCCTCCCGCCACCACGACGAGGCGCGGTCCCGTCGGTTCCGAGGGTGCCGTAGCTCCCGTCCGGTGCCGTGTGTGCTGTGTGTGATAGTATCCCTCAGCAGTACAGAAAGCAGTCCACGGGAAATGAAGCATGGGGCCAAATGGGGCCAGTGCAGGATTCGAGCCTGCTGTCCAGCAGGTATGCTGGACACCACCAAGGAAGGCCACCAAGGAAGGCCTGTCGTGCTGAGACAGCATGCCCGGTTTTACGCCATGGGAAGACATGAGCACAGGAAGCTTAGATATGATGCTCGCTGCCTGTTAGGTGCTGGTGCTGGGTGCA